AGAAGGCCTGACTCGTAAGCTACAACCCCTGAATCGTAAACTACAACCCCTGAGATGAAAAGAGTGATTGTCCCCCCCTCCCCACCCCCCGAAGCCCCACCCGCATAGCTTCGGTCATTTTAGGAAATGGGGATTTGAAGGTTATGAATCGGCCATTTGTAGTCTATGAATCGGGTGTTTTTTGTTTATGAATCGGTGTTTGTTCCTAGAGGTCTGACACCAGGGCCCTGGTCCTTGCTTCTGTGCAGAAGTCGGGCCCGCCTGTTGAGATCCAGGTTGCCGGGAGCTACAGACAGTGCATCCATCATCGCTGGCCGAGTCCTTTAGTCCGGATCATGCTCAAACAGGTTAGCACGGATGTGAAACACATCCAAGCTCCCAGCAATGTCACCATGAAGAGCAAACACGCCCAAAAGCACCACCTTGCAAAACATGAATGAGCACGTCTAGCAAGCAACTTAGACTGGTGACCAGTTCAAGAGCAGGAAGTACTTGTGGTTTCGCCAACCAACACCTGGAGATCAGACTCATGGTTGTAATCTTTCCCTGCATGCTTTCCTCTTCATTTATTGTCTGAGACCAGCACAGCTTCCTACCCATGGGCAATGATGGTCCTGTAAGCCAGAAGCCGTTTACGGATGCCAAAGGGATGCATTGTAACAAGCTTGGGCAAGGTCCATACGCAGGATGCAACACCCACACGAGCTGCAGTGATGCGCACCTTGGGGGGCGCGGTGGGTAGGACACCGATGCTTCTTCGTGCTTCTTGGTGTATTTAAGAGCTGCTGCCATCCCATATACAAAGCAGAATCCACGTGTTTACCCCTGGAAAGCACAGCCAGCCCTTGTACACTCGCATCATTGTTCCCAAAGAATCTGAAACAAACTCACCGGAACGATGCTATAAAAACTCTATCTCACATTCATAAGAGCTATAGTCCAAACTCCTAGTAGCCCCCTTAATAACCCCTTTAATACTCCCCTACAGAATCCCCTATATAACCCCCCTTGGAGCAGTTGAGACCCTGAGCCCCAAACCCTATATAATCCTTGATATAAACCCCCTAACCCTACATAAGTCCCCATGACGTCCCCCTTGAAGGAGTTTAGACTTCAGCTCCTAAGGCCCCGTCGTTCAGGTCGCTCCATCCGGCAGACGCGACACCACGAAGGCTTGCCCGGAGACCAAGCCCGGGGCATGATAGAATCAGCCGAGGCTGCCTCTTGGAGAAAACATAGAACAGTATATAGGGTTGGGGTTTGGGGGGGATAATGGAAAAGAAAATGGAAACTACTATTTAGGGTTTAGGGTTTAGGGTTTGGGGTTCAGGGGGTTTGGGTTCAGGGTTAAGGGTGTTCAGGCTGTAAGGGTAAGGGTTTA